GATCAAGTATGTTTAAATGTTCGTGATATACAAGAACTAAAACTTATTCGATTACCATCAACATTTCATGAATCTAAAGCTAAATTACGTGCTATTGATCCATGTCTTATTGATATACGTCTTTCATTATCTGATGAACATAATAGAATTTCAAATGAATCAATAAAACAATATCATCAACCAATACCAATAGCTCGTTGTTCACATAGTAAATCAATGGGAAGTAGTGGTAATAGTACAGTAATTTCATCGAGTTCAAATGAATCATCATCATCATTAGGTTATTTACCTATGAATAAAACTCTTGATGATTCATTTAATGAACAAATTAAAAAATTCAGTGAACTTTCAACAACACATATTCCATCAAAACCAATTACATTAGTTGCAAAAAAAGTTTTACCAAAAAAAATTATACGAAATAATAATAATAATAATCGTTCATTATTATCAACAGAAATTCATCCTACAAATATAATAAAAACAACAACTGTAGATAATCATCGTAAAATATCACCTATACGTGTAACAATTACAAGTAAATTAAATCCAAATGCTACTCCATTCTATGGTCAACAACGTTCAATATCTACGACTCAAAATTCATCATTTATATCCTATGAACAAAATCAATTTCAATCAAATCCTCAATCTAGTATTTCATCCAATCGTTCACAATCAATACCAAATGAAATTAATACAATCAATCGTCTTGTTCATCAACAACAAAATCGACATCGTTCTTATCAACGATTTGTTCCACCACGACAAATGGCTATAAGAAAACAATTCAATATTCAATCAACGGATAAAAAATCAAATCATGAACAATTGCCAGGTTATTCTTGTTTCATTTTTTTAATTTCAATTTTTTTTTTTTATTATTCAGGATCAATTTATCAAACATCATCGACAGTAATGGATCAGATATTATCAACACCACCTATGCGAGAACGTTTATCCGTACCAATTAATAAGCGTCCACGTCAATCACCTGTTATTCTTCGTTCGACTGGTAGTTTACCGTATCAACATAAAAATTCAGGAGACCGTAACCAATTACAAATGCCGTTATCATTCGGAGAACCAATTGGTTCTCATCGTGGACAACGTACTGTTTCTGGTACAAGTAGTGGTAGTAGTTTAAGTGTTGATATTGGTCCTCATTCAATAGTTCAACTTGATTCAATATCAAACGTTTTAACATCAAATGATGGTCAATATGATTTTGAAAAAGCTAATGAAGAATTTCATCGTTATTTAGCATTGGAAGAATTAGTTACTCGACATGTATCATCAGGTTATTCAACAGAATCTCATCCTGATGATGATTTAAATCAACAACAATCTCAAACAAATCCATATAAAAAAGATATTTCATTTTTTGATCGTATATCATGTACAGCTACAACAGGTACAGCTGTAGCTTATACTGAAATGGATGAAATAGAAAAAAACCGTGAAACATTTGGTGATGATGCTCTTCTTATCGGTTCTGATTCAAATGATAATGAATGGTTTATTTAAAAAAGACGAAAAAAACAAAAAAAATACATTATTTTATTTCTTTTTGGTTTGTACATTTTGTTCAGTCTATTTCATACAACATATTTTTCTTCTATTTTTATAACACTGCAGTTCTTTTTAATTCTAAAATAAAACACCAAGAATATATTTGCAATTCATAATAAATATCTTTCAATAAAAGAATACTATCTACATAAAGCTGATTTACGTTATTTATTTGAATAGGATTTAATGCTTAAAAAATACAATAAAAATTTTAATTTACCAACATTAAAACTTATTTAATTTTCCTTATTAGAAAAAGAGAGAGAGAGAGGCATCAATTTTTAGATATGATCAAGGTCAATTTATACTCTAAAATAATCGAAACAATCAATAAGAATCTTACTCATCAGGCAATACGACGTGAAAAAAACGAAATAATAATTTTCGTGTATTATTGGACGATAAACTGTATAATATACAAGAGAAAAGAATACAAGTTTGTTGTTTTTTTTTTTTTCTACTTACAATAAATAAACTCGATTTTTTTCTTTGCATTACTCTCATTGATTCGATACGTTTTGCGGTCACGGATGTGTGAGCAAGCAAAAAAAAAAAAGATGAAAAAGACGCGGTCTGCCGCAAAACTAAACAGTGTGTAGTATTCATAACTACTCATCAGCGTTTTTCTTTTTATCTATTGAAATAGGTTATAGAAAATATGCAAGCATTCATGTTTGCGATTAGTATTATATTATTAGTATTTATACAACGAGTTGAATCAACATATTATGTTTATACATATGATGATGGCATTGGTAATGACGAGCATTGTTGTCTTGTACGATTAGGTGAAAATTTTTGTGTAGCAAAACCACTTACACGTAGTTTATTACAAGTAAATAAAGCATGTCAACGATTGGGTATTAATGAAAAAACTACAAATGATTTAAATAAAATTGTTCGTCGTTTAAATGTTGAAAAATCAGAAAAAATTGGTGATAAAATACTTTTACAATTACAAACACCATTAGATAAAAATATACTTAAAAATGATCTTTTATGTTTATCATCAACAACAAATAATATTAATTTAGAAAAATGTTTTGTTGAATTAGCTGATGAACAACATAAAAAAAAGAGTAAGAAAAATTTTGAAATATATATACAAAAAATTTATTTTTCAATATTATAGATAAAAAAGGTCATCATCATCATAGTGAACAAGGTAAAAATGAAACAGCTGATAAAGTAGTTATTGAAGAAAAACCTACTAATGAAAAAGAAATTCGTCTTCTTGAAGTATCTGAACCAATACAAATTCTTGAAGGACATGGTCTTGTTTTTAATCAAATTTATGAACTTAATTTAACTAATTTTCGACCAACAACAAATCAACAACGTGATTGTTGGTCATGGTATCGTACACATACAAAAAAATTATGTAATCATCCAAGAAATTTTATGAAAACATGTATTTCTTTAAATCATCAACGTGAAAAATGTATTGAAAAACTTTTCTATAAAAAAATTAATGATGAACAACAAGAATCATATTTAAAAAATTCAATTACAATTGGTTCGAAATTATATTGTGAAGATGGTAATAAACAAAACAAATTTCTTGGTTATCATCAGCAAAGTCAAATATGTTTTTTAACACATACACAAATATCAATTCAACATAAATTTACTGATTTTGTTAGTTTATCCGATAAAAATAAAAATAAAAATGTACTTCAATTTATATCAAATGATACAAAATTAACAAATGAATTTGAACATGATTGTCATGATAAAGTAACATTAGCTGAAATAAAAAAATCATTAGAAAAACAAGCTGAATCAAATATACCTGATGATAATGCATCACAACAAGAATAAAACAAAAGACAAAAAATAAAATAAAATAAAACAAAAACTTTCGAAACCTTAAAATAGTTTTCTTTTTTTTTTCTTTCACTTTTTTCTTTTGTTTTTCTTTTCAAATCAATTTTAATTAAAATAAAAGTAGTAGTATAGGAATATTTGACACATTCACATACACAAAAACAAAAATACAAAGTTTATGCTGGTCAATGTCATTTTTCACAGGATCATATTTGAGGCTATTGAAAGAAGAAATATGATAAATGATATTTGAATCGATGGTAATGCTAAAGAAAAAAAAAGAATAATATATACAAGTCAGATATAGGATTTTGTTGTATCGTATAGGTTAGTTTCGTATTAGATAGATTATCAATGTCATGATTTAGACATATGTTTGTTTCAATGCAAAAAAACAAAAATGAAATATTTAGGAGATTCCAAAAAGTTATTATTCACCTTTTTCATTTCAATAACTTTAATAATCGTCATGGTTCGTGTATAATTGAAAAATGGTTATATGCGAAACCTTCTAGAATCGAGAATAGTGATTCATCGTTTAAGTAGTCTTTTTTTTTGCTTTCTATACTCTGAACTTATTCATTCTAACAAGAAGTTTAGAAAAGTTTAAGCATAAATATCAACTTTTTTTTGATTTAGAAAACTTATCAACTTTAATTAAATGTCTTTTATCAGTGAAAAAATCCTTACCAAAACAAGGTACTTGATCAGCAGATGTACATCGACCCATATTTCTATTAAAACGTTGACCATTTGGACAACGACTTTGATTTACTACACGATTATCTAAACATTGTATATATGATTGACAATTTGGTTTTGTTCGATCAAGATAAAATCCATCACCATGATCAGTACATGATGGAACAAAACTACATAAATTTTTTGCAGCATCATAATTTGATAAATAATGACCTTAATTTACAAAAAAAAACAACAACAAACGACATTGTCTATCAAAAAAAAAATCTTTTTGATATGTTTTTTTTTTTTCGGTATTACTTACATTTACTTAAACATTGTCGTCGTCCATCACATTTTACTTTTTTATATGGTAAACATTTACGAATTTGTATATCAAATAAATTTGGATGTGAACATGATTGAAGAATTAATTTACCTGATATACATTCATAATAATGACAACAACTTGTTAAATCAATAAAACGAGCACCTTCATTTTTTGTTGTACATTTATTATTACCTATTGAAATAAATTATTTTGAAAACTTTTCGAATTCATAGTGACTCTAAAAATTGATCCGATTGATTTTATTTCGATTACATGAGGAATTCAAATAGTAAGTAAAATCTCGAATTTTCGACGAAATCTTTTGACCGAACTACTACATCAATATTTAAAAAATCACCATCTTTCCAAAACATCCGAACAAAAAAATGCATGAAAACGGAATTTCGTTATAACGAAGTCTCACTCAAACTTAAAATAATTCTATATAATTCGATCGAATAGTTATGTGATTTTATTTATTCAACCTTGAGATATGAGAAGATGATCGCATTTGACATCGTTTTCATGTATTACTTTATTCGAATGTTTTGCAATCATGATAGGTTTTCAAAACAATTTTGTCTTATATAATATTAGATAAAAAAATCAATCCAGAGTTCTACACTTTCGATTCTTAATACGAGTTACTATTATGAAAAAGAAAATAAAAAAATTTTATACATTGAACATTTTGTGTATAATCACAACTTTGTTTATCAGGACTATATTGAAGTTGTGCTGGACAATGTGATACAAGATCAGTACCATGATAACAATCATGATAAATTGAACAATCATATGGATCTGGTACACGCCATGATTTACTTTGAGGACATATTATTGATGGTTTATAAATATCGGATGATGAAGGAGCAACTGGAATATCTGTTAGAATATAAGATGATGGATAAGTTGTGTCTCGACGTATCCATGGTGCATTACGAATTGTCGATAATGAAATAGACGATGCTGGACTAAGATTCTTCACTGGGCCTATAGATTTTTAAAGAAAATTTATTCAAAAAAAAGTTTTTTCAAAATAAATTTACAGTCTGATTGTGCAGGCCAAACACACATTTTTTCAGCTTGTGACCAATATAAACCTTTTTTACATAGTTTAGCTTGTGGTATGCCTTAAAAAAAAACGAAATAACATTATATTGACTTTTAGAGTCGATATTTTAATTAAATCTTTATACAGTTTATTTCTAATAGAATTATGATCTTAAATATTATTCTTGTTAGATGAATTTGAAATCTTACAATCTATGACATTAGAAATGATCACTATATTTAATAGAAACATTTATTATTGTATCAATGATCAATATTTTCTATGTAAATACTAATTGTAGTGATTGAATCGCCTAGACTTTCTTTTCCTTAGTAAACAAACGACATGAATCTTTCTTTCTTTCTTAGTTTAATTGTAAGAATTGTTTTACTCGATGTCACGTCTATTCTTACCATTTGCACAATAAGCATATTGTTTACAATCAGTTGGATGAGCTATATAGTCATTATCAATAGATTGACATAAATAATCAAAAATTGAACCATGTGATATATTATTCTTAATAGGAATCTTATAATCTAAAATTAAAATAAATTTAATAAAAAAAAATAATATTTTTTTTCCTATTTGAATTTCAACTTAGTGGATAAAGAATATGTCTTGTTGTTGTTGTTGTTGTTGCACTTGTTGTAGCTGGAAGAGTATCATCATATGATGTATGATTACAATTAACCTAAATCATTGAGAAAAATATTAAATTTTAAAGAAAATAATAAGAAATTATTTTACATTCATAGCCCAATCACATTCATTTTTAATTGGATTAAATAAAAGATCATCTTTACATGCTTTAACTGAATGTGTTGTACCAACACAAATATGATAAAGCCAACAATCACGTTTATCTGGAAAAAATCCATCTTTTTCACATACAAAATTTTCAGTTCTTGTTATTTGAATAATAATAACTATTTTGTTTTTTGTAAAATGAAAATAATTTTATTTGATTAGATAATTAAAATAATAAAACTTACAAATAATTAATAAATAAAATAAACATCGATTTGACTCGTATGACATGATGATAATTGAACATTCATTGTAAACATTTTTGAAATAACATTTTTCTTTTTTGAAATTCTTTATTAAATCATTTTTCAATGTATAACAAAAAAAAGAATCATTTATTATAAGTGATAATAATAAAGAAGAAGAAGAGTATTCTGTTGTAGTAGCTTCAAATGTATTCTTATTCTTTCTTTACATTGATGTATGATGAACAAACAAACGAACGAACGAAACAAAGAGAAAGTTATTTAAATAAATGTTAATACCTATGTCGAACATTCAATGAGAAAATACTAGAAAGATGAAGGGCAATGAGTAAAAGAATGGAAGAAAGAAAGACAAGAAGAAGAAAAAAAAACGAAAAGAGAAGAACGTATGATAGTAAAACTTAATAACAATAGATATTTAATGATCTTGAAGTAATCTTTTGTTTCTTGTACATATGTTGAATTAGAAAAGAAAACAAAAAACATCTGTTATAAAGGACATATTCATTGTTTAATAAAATAAATGACATTTTCAAATAAAAATATCGACCATCTGTGATAAAATAAAAGAAAAATTTTTCATTAATCTATGTCAATTCTTTTATCCTTCTAAAGAATCTATCAAAAGTTTCTTTTAACTAATACCATTGATAAAAAGTGCGACAAGTTTTTTTTATTCTCAACATTGATAAAACAATGCGTCAAGATTAATATGTGATTAATCAAAGGTCGATTACGTAAATTTATTCTTTCGTTTTAGGTACAAAATCATTTATGCATATATTTAGATACTTTATGTCATCTTAAACACATTTCATTGTTATTATTATTATCAAAATAGGACTTCTTTTAATTCAACTAGAATGAAAGTTCGAGTTTGTTTTTTGTTAGTTCACAAGAAAAAGAAAAAATCTCAAATGCAAAAAACTTGCAATGATAATCAATATGTTTGAATACACTAATTTTAGTAATAAAAATATATTCAATTTTTTTGTATACAAAAAAAAAGCAATCATGCTATTCATAATCTTTTAACACGTTTCAATACTTTGCATTATGTTGTTTTCATTTTGAGTAGGAGTTTTAGATTATCGTATGTAGAGCTTGACAACTTCAAAATTTTTGAGCTCACACCCGATCAAGTATGAGTCAGGAATCAATCCCATGGTATAAGTATACATAAAGATAATCTGGTGTTATATAACAATTACAGATGATTATCAAGTAGACATTTTCTCAAAATTTTCAATTATGATAAGTGGAATATACCAGAGATGGACAAAGTCGCACCGCGCCTCCCCGCGCCGTTGCTCACGCCTACGCTATACTAGTCTGAGCTTCGATGAGCGCATGCTTAGAGCATCCCGGTATTCGGTGGAGTTTGAGAAACTGATTGGTAGAGCAAAGAGAAAGAGAGATGTGCGTAGCGCCTAGGCGCGAGCAGCGGCGCGAGGAGGCGCGGTGCGATTTTGTCCATCTCTGGAATATACTATCATCAAGAATATACAATGAGATAATATTTCAAGCTATAGTTGATATTAACAAATCTATTTTTGTGGACAAAAAATTAAACAGAAAGTAATTTATTATAAATTAAATCAATTGTATCAGGTGCAGTCATAGCTTTTAAAAGACGTTTTAAGAGAATTTCATCATTTGATTCATTAGAACATATATTCGTAGAAATATTATTATTTGATTTTGATAAATTAATATGTTCAAATAATGTACTTGTTAAACGTTGTTCATGTACATGATTAGCTGGAGTAATTATATATCGATATCGTTTTAATGGAGGTTCTTTTATTTCATTTGTTGAATCTAAATCCATTAATAAACTAGATAATAAAGTTAAATTTGTTGTTGGATCAGTAGCAACCTAAATATGAAGATTTAACATAAAGAAAAATGAAATCTTTTTTGTTTTTTTCTCCTCAGATATTTATACTTCATTATGATTTAACCATTGATCAGATGAATAATCATGTGATATCATAGTTGATGTAATAATTTGTCGAACAAGCATTTCTTTGATTCGTTCTATATGATCATCAGGCTATATATATCAAATTAATAAGTATAATCTTATTTATTCAATTTAAAAATTATTTACTTGTTCTAACCAACTATTAACTGAAATAGTTATTGAATCAAGAGATAAAACAAAATGCCACCAATGTTTTGGTACAAATAAAACATCGCCAGGTTCAAGAATTATATCATAAACATCAATATTCTATGATAATTTAATTGACATAATCGAAAAACAAAAAAAAAACAATTTTACTTTGAATTTATCCAATACAGATGGATCAATATCAAGATAAACACTAGATTCTTCATATGGTATACGTGTTTGTAATTGACCTATTGGACTATCTGATGGAAATAATAACCATCGTTTTCTAAATTTAATTCAAAATATTCATCATTTATAAATAATTTTATGTTTTAAGATGTATGACACTTCGAAATTTGAACGAAACTTATTTTTTAGCCCTTTTCTAGTCATGATTGAATAGGATTTAGATATGGACGAGATTGTTCCAAAACTAGGACCAACACGTTTTCATTGGGAATGATATCTTTTATGGTCGTGTAAGATGTGTGTCAAATGTTATAAAACTTCATGCGAATATTATTGAGTAATGATTATTTCACTATTTACTGTTACAATTTTGATAGTAAAATTAATCTTTTGTTTATTTGTCGTCAACGATAGAATTGTCAAACACATAAATATGTAGAATATAGGAAGTATGAGAGAGAGAATATTTGAAGTTATGCAAGATATCTCAAGTTCATTGACACTGTATAAATTAACAGCAACTTACTTTCCAACAATTTGAGCAACAAAATTAATTCCATATGTATCATAATGACAAGGTGTATGAGCACCTTGAGAACCAATCCATAATGTTGATTCTTTTCCACACCGATCTTTTAAACCCATATCAGCCCATTTGATCATCTTTAAAAAAATAATTTACATAAGTTTTTTTTTCTAATTATATAATCAATATACATACATTTATTAAAGGATGTGATTCATTTTCAAATAATTCAGGTAAATGTATATAATCTGCATAAGCAAAATATTCTTTATTTGAATATTGTTTTAATGGATGATCAATTGGAAGAGAATTATTATCGATTGATGTTGTCCAAGAAAGAAAATCATCAACAGTTGATTGAATATGAATACAATCTTTTTCAAATTGAACACGATCACCTTTAACAAATATTTCATTTATTAAAAGTTTTGATGAAAATCAATTTATATGAAACTAACGAGGGAACGAGTTCAACAGACCAATTAGGTTTTTAATGAAAGTTATCGGTTATACTGATTCCTATTAAGAACCTGAGAAATCTGCTTAGATCTTCATAGAGTATGTCGAATTGTTAAAAAGATAATAATCTTTTCATTCGAGTGGTACATTTTCAAGGTCGAGAAGAAGTTGAAGTCAATCTTGATTTCAACTTTTCTCAATTTTTGGGAAACCTTCAGGAGACTTAACTGGAGCTTTCAAAAGACATCAGTTTATACAAAAAATATCATACGTCGAAAAATGACTTCGATATCAGTAATCATATAAACACGAGAAATATGATCATGAAATTCTTTTTTTCACTTCGAGCAGGATTCGAAGATACTATATATGAAATTTAATAGAAATTCATTAATTGTAAAGATTCATTTATTTTGATATTTCATCATTTTTTGTTCTCAATGAAATTTCGATATGCATGTTTGAATTTCATTTAAAACATAGTTATATGTTTTTTTTTTCAAATTTGATATCGTTGATTAATTGTGAACTTCCCTTGTATAGAAATAGGCAATGTTTTATGATAAGAATCTTTTCTCTAACTGAAGACAGAAAGGTGTAGTTTCATTTTTTTTTTTTTTGCCTAATTGAAATTCTAGTTTTGTTCTATTCAAGCATATCTTAAGGACAAAATAGCAGTATTCATTATAGGCTATCAAGGTTTATAGAATATCTTAGTAATAAACTACCGAATAATGATTTTTGTTGTTTGCCAATTCGAAATGATAATAATTTTTGTTTGAGTAAATCAGCCAAACGTTGTCCTCCTATCCATGAATATGAATCATCAATGATCGTTGCACCTTTGAATATATATGGTACATTCCAATCTGTTGCTGCTATCATTATTGATGATGTCATTTTATCTAAATATTTTTTTATAAATCTATATATTATTAATCATAGATATTATTCGATAATCAATATGTAATTTTTATTTATATCTTAGCACACATATATTGATATATATTCTTTTTTTTTCTTTTAAATATTCTTACGCTCGACTGCGTTTATTCTGCATACATATATAAATAGGTGTGCATGTATATAAGAGACTTTTGTTCGTTTTCGTTGACACTTATTCTTTCGTCCTATCTAATATTTCAAAGTGAATCCATTATATAAAAGAAGAAACATAACAATATTTCTTCTATTATTTTCCGATTAATTTTATATTATGTTCAATAACTAATGAACATGTCCTTCAATATCATATATATCAAAGAAAGAACGAAAAAACGATATACTGATTAATATTTTACAATTAAAAGTATTCAACAAACAATAGATTATTTGGTTGTTAACTTATTCAATTATTAACTATGGGTAATCGGGTAAGATTAAAAGAACAAAAAGAAAAAATATCGAAAGATAAACAACATTTAAACTATTTATTTGTCCTTAATAATAATTACATACACATAGTCAACATTAAGAGAAGCGATATACAGATATATATATGATTATGATTCAAAATCTCCATCATTATGTTCATCATCAGATGGTTGTTGTTGTTGTTGTTGATCATCATCTGATTCTTCATCATCTTTAATAACAGTTAATTTTCTTTTTCGTCCACGTCGTGAAACTTCACCATTTGTTATAATAGGTGTTGTTATTCTTGTACCACGACCTCGTCGTGATGATGTACGAGGAGTTGTTGTTGTTGTTGTTGTTGTCGGTGTTATTGTTACTGGTGTTGATTGTTGTTCATTTGTTGTTGTTGTTGTTGGTACTTCAAGAAGACCAGCATCAAGTTGTTCACGTAAATTTCTATAAATTTTTTCTAATAAAATTGAATCAGCAAATATTAATGATGTTTCACAATTAAATGTTTGAGCATTTTGTACAAGTAATTCAATATCATATTGAAATTCATCTAAATTTGAATATCTATATGTATCAATTTTTCTTTTAATACGTTGAAAATCAATTGGATCTTTAATTGTTTGATAATAAATCGGTAATTGTTTTTGTCCAGGTAAACGTATAAATGGTTGTGCTAATTGTCGATTATCATCTGTACGATAAGCTAATAAACGTTCAAGTAATAAACGACATTGTGGTGCAATTTTAGGATCAACAGTTTGTAAACGTTTTTTAACACTACCACGTTTAGATGAAAAATTTTGTTGATTTATTATTGGTGTTGAAGGATTATCAAATGATGAACGTGCTTCTGTATCATCAAGATCAATATCATTATCTTGTATTGATAATATATTTTTACGATTTTGTTTTTTTAAACGTTTTTGTTCAACAGCACCATCTAAATTACCTTCTTCTAATGCTTGTAAAAATTCTCTTTCAGTTAAATTATCACTATAATCAATATCTTTACGTTGACGACGACCTTTACCAAAATCTTCATCATTTTCAAGTGTTTTTTCAACTTCTTCAACATCATTTTTTAACCATTCAGGTAATTCATCTTCCGTTATAAGACGATTTATTTTCATTTTACGATGAACACTTGGTGTTGCTTGAGAAAAATCAACATCTTCTTCATCATCAATATCTTCTAATGGTGATGGTGTTGTTTCATCATTTGTTGTTGTTGTTGTTGTTGTTGTTTCTTCACCACCACGAGTAGCTTCATCATCACTTTGTTCAATAAATCCAGTTGTTATTTTTCTAATTGAAAAAGAAAAAGAATTAATTAAAGCAAAACTAGAAAGGCAGATCAATTAGACATATGATATTTCTATTGAAAAATCAAAAAATAATTACTTTTCATTCGTAAGAACTTTAGTTGGTTGATCTATTGAATCTTCATTATCACTTTCTTTTTTACGTTTAATTCGTGGTGTTAAAAATTTTATATCATCAATTGTTGTTGTTGTTATTGGTGTTGTTGTTGGCATAACAGCTGTTGTTAATTTCCAATTACGACGTTCATTAGCTCCATCACCACCACTACCAACACCATGTAAAGATTCATATTCACGTCTTGCAACATCCATACGATTAAATAAATTAAATTCACTTTCAGTTCGTGCAATCATCTATGCAAAATTTTACAAAAAAATATTTTATTATTAAAAAAAACAAAAATTTACTTGATTAAGTATTTCATCATCTGGTATATCTTCATCATCATCTTTTAAATCATCTTCACCTTCAATTAATTGTTCAAGATAATCATGTCGTTCACTTGATGTTGATGAACGATTAAACATACCAGCTTGTATAACTTTTTCATCAACATTTAATTTATATCTTGCACAAGCTAATATTTTTTCTTCTATTGTATTTATTGTCATTAAACGTAATACTCGTACTTCATTTTTTTGTCCAATACGATGTGCACGATCTTGTGCTTGTTGATCTTGATGGGGATTCCAATCAGAATCAAATAATATAACTGTATCAGCTTTTTGTAAATTTAAACCAACACCACCAGCACGTGTTGATAATAAAAATATAAAACAATTTATATTATCATCATTAAAATTTTTTAATAATTCACAACGATCATCAGCTTTTGTTGTACCATCTAAACGTATATATGTATAATTACGATAATTAAAATATATTTCAAATAAATCCATAACAGCTGTCATTTGACAAAATAATAATACTTTATGTCCAGTTGCTTTTAATTTTGGTAATATACGATCAACTAATTCAAATTTACCTGATACACGAAATAGATCAGGTCCATTTATAAAATAATCTTTATAACCAAGTGATTGTGCTAAACGTTCTTCTATTTCTTCAAATAAAAATGGATGATTACATATTTTACGTAATTGCATTAATTTATTCATTAATGCACGACGACCACTTTTACCATTTTGATTTTCAATAATTAATGTACGATTTTTTGACATAGCATGATATAAACAACGTTGTAATGCTGATAATTCACATTTAATTATATATTCAACCTAAATAATTATATCAATAGAAATTTAATTAAGATATACTCAAAAGAATTTCATTGTAGTCAAATCAATTTTTGAGAATGTAAAACTGAAGAAAACTAATAAAAAAAAATGCGAAAACCTCGGATTTAAATCCGAGTGTTAAGTGTACTTCAAAAAGTGAACAGGTATATTCACTTTGTTTTTTATCATCTAAGACATATCTAAGCAATTTGCTTTCTGGATACAGTTTTTGTGCATTTTGAGACCTTTTTCAGGCGATATTTTGTTAGAAAGCTACGATTTGGTTCAAAACTAATATCAGATTCGGAATCAGCGTTAAAAACTAAGTCGATTTATATATGTTGTGAATAATTCTGAGAAAAAAAGTTTTTTTTTGAAAAAATCCCTGTACTCCCCCTCAGGGATGGTCTGGTCAATAATGACAATTTTTTCGATAAGTCAGCCATTTCTTGACGGATCCTTCTCATCTTCGAACTCGACTGAGACATTGATGAGACTGAACTGTGTAGAAAATTTCATCACGATCTGACTCTCCTTTCGAAAGTTATCCTGTAAACTTTTTTTTGTATATGCGGATAGTATCTTTATTAGATTTCTAATTATTATTATTATAGTTCATATTTAACAAAAAATTCTAGTGAAAAATAAAGAATTTCATATATTAATCTAAGTTAATACTAACTTTTTCTGGTAATTGTGCTTCAACTTCTTTTTTAAGTCGACGTAATAGAAAAGGTCTTAAAACTTTATGTAAACGTCTAATAATTAATAATGTTTCTTCATGATTTAATTCAACTTTTTCACTTGGTAATGTTGCAAATGGTGCATTAAACCAATCCGTAAATGTTGTTGAACATTTAAATATAGTTGGTAAAATAAAATTTAATAATGCCCATAATTCCGGTAGATTATTTTGTAATGGTGTACCAGTTAATAATAAACGATGTGATGCATGTCCATAATATGTATTTAATATTTGTGTTAATTTACAATGATGATTTTTCATTCGATGTCCTTCATCAACAATTAAATATTTCCATGTTACTTTTGATAATATTGAACGATCACGCATAATATATTCATATGTTGTTAATAATACATTAAAACGATTTGTACGTATTGTTTGTCCAAGCATTTTACGTACATGTGGTAAACCTTTATATTGTATAACACTAACATCAGGTGCCCAACGTTGAAATTCAGATGCCCAATTAGATAATGTTGATAATGGTACAATAATTAATGATGGTCCAGGATTTTTTTTACAATCAATTAAATGAACAATTAATGCAATTGTTTGTATTGTTTTACCAAGACCCATTTCATCAGCAAGTATACCATTTAAATTATTATTATATAATGATACAAGCCATTCAAGACCTTGTAATTGATATGGTTTAAGTTGTCCACCAACAAGCATATTTGATTGTTCAGTTATGGGTTCACGTATACGATGTGCTATTGAATAATATGATTCTTTTGCATCATATTCATCATCTTCATTTGTTGCAGCTATTTTAATAGCATCACGTATAGCTTCATCATTACCAGTTTGATCAATAATTGGACTAATAAAAGAAAAATTTTCATTTTTTTCAAATTTAAATTATTAAAATTTACCTTGATTTAATTTCTTCATTATTTGATGTTGATACATTAATAATTGTTGTTATTGATTGTTCTGTATGTATTTTAATTGTTCGTCCACGTGAACGATTTGCTTGTTGATGTTGTCGTACTAATTGTTTAAGATTATCAATATATGCATCTGTTTGTGATAATAATAATGCTAAACGTGCATCTTTTTTTTCATCAACTAATTTTCTATAACCTTCTTCATCTTCATTCATTAAACGTTTAATACGTTCTTTTTCTTTACGTTCTTTTTCTTTAATTAATTCACGTTCATTATTAGCAAAATATGCTTGTATAGATTTATTCATACGTATTGTTGATAATGAATAACGACGATGATATTCACGAAAATCACGTGCATGATTTTGTACAGTATTAAGAAATTCTTGATGTTTAGCACGTTGATTTTGTTCAATTTCAATTTTACGTTGTCGTTCATACTGTTCAGTTGAACGTGCTTCACGAAGATGATGACGTTTAGGACGTTTATATGCACGTGGATTAAGTGCTGTTTGTATTAATGTATCTTTCTATTAGAAAATAAGAAAACAATAGAATATTTAACTAATAAAAAACAACAAAAACCTTCATAGTATTAAGAATTTCATTACGAAGTTGTTTTTGAAATTGAAGTAATTTAAGTGATTTAAGTTCAATTAATGCTTGTGTTCGTAAATCAACATTCATTTGAGCTGGCATATGTTCAAGTTCTTGTAGACGATTTGAAATACGATTAAGAACACTAAATAATAATAGATATATGATATTTAAATTAAATTAATGTCAAATCAAATAGTTTCTTGTCAAACATATTGAAAAGTTAGTTTTATCCCGGATTTTTTCTTCGAAGGGGTGATTTGAATTTCCGAGGAGGCGAAAAATTATTTTCGGGAGGGTGAACTCGATTTCCGGGTGGGCACCCATCTGGATAAAACACTGATTTTATGACTTTTTTATGTTCAATATCTCGATAATAAATCATCCATTTTAATTAAAACTTTCGAATATATTTTAAAAGTTTAAATGAAAAACTCTTACCGTTTTTCTCGTTCTTGTTGAACATACAATGGATTAAGACTAATTGGATGTTGACGAATACGTGTAGGAATATTATCTTCATCACTAGTATTCATTTCAGTCGATCCAATTAACCATCGATACATATTTGTTGCTGATGAAAATTTTAATGGTATATTATTATCATTCTGATGAGTTCCAAGAATGATAGCTGTTGATTGTTGTTGAACATGATTTTGAATTAAAGTAGCTAATTGTACTTTATAAGAACATGATTGAAGTAAAGAATCTGACACAGGTAAATTGCGAGCAAGAAGACGATAAGTTGTTATCTGAGATTTAAGAATATTAGCACGAAGATGTTCAATTTCTGATGGATCAATTGTAATGACAGAAGCGGAATCATTATCCGCTGTTGCCATTATATAGATTTATATCTGAAAAATAATTTTTTTTTTTATATTTCAGTCAGCCAAACATAAATCAAATGTTAGTTCTATAAATTCATCAAGAAGTAATAAAAAAAATCAACAACTACGACCTTTTCCAATTCTTACACCACAATCATTTATTCCTGGTGCTACTCCTAATAATAATTTCTATTCAAATTATACTTCGCCTACAGAAGCTAAACAATTTCCAATATTAACTGAACCACCTTTAATAAATTTTAATAATGAATCTGGTCTTCAATTAAAACCATCTTCTTATCCAGAAATAAATCCTATATCAAACATGCAATCATCAGATTTTTCATATAAACCAACATTTTCTTCATATCCAGATCGTCGTCCAGTGCGTATTCCTAGTCGACATCATTCTCGTCCTATTATTCATATAATTGAATCAGATTCATGTTCATCAATAAGTTCATATTCACCACGTCATCATCATCATCATCATCATCGTCGATCATATTCTCATCCAAGACAACGACGATTTACTCAACAACAACAACAACAACCAATTATTCTCTTACCTATAAAATGTCAACAATCATCAACTATGACAAATTCTCTTCAAGGACAATCACAACAAAATCTTTTACCTACAATACAAGCTCAACAACGTTATATTTTACCATCAATTTTAAATACAAATTCTACACCAGATATAATTAATAATAATCAATCGATGTTTCAATTATCTATGCCAAGATCTTTTGAAAACTTACAACAAATTCAAAATGGATCAATACAATATGTTCAAAAAGCACCAGACTTACAATTTATATCAGTAAAACCACATTCATCAAATGCTTCACAACATGTTCTTGTTAATAATACAAATAAGAAGCAATCAAATATAATAAAACCAATTCAACGATCAATTATAACAACGAATTTACCATAAAATAATATTAAATTTTAGAACATAATCATTTCGATCGATTGACTTACAAATGAACACAAAATAATTGTACAAATACAAGAAGAAATTTATATCAATTTTTTAGGATAATTAATAACAATAGATTCATTTTTTGTTTTTACGAAAAAAATTATTTAGAATTTTAATATTAAATATAGATTAGATAATGAAAATCTATTTTTTTTTCTTTTCTTTGAATGAGTAATATCGATTAAAAATTAGGTACAAAAAGAAAAATAACTTACTAATAAATCTTGACAGAGACAAAGAAAAAGTAACTAATCAAAATTATGTTTCTGTATATTGAGAGGAGGTACAATCAATTTTTTTTATTTGTTCTTTACTTCCAGCAATCATATACGCATTTATAATAATATTTTCAATCGATAGATGTCGTAAGTCAACGTCGAAATAAATTCAGAACGAACATTACGATAGTCGTATATGGTTGAATACGTTCATATTTCAATTTCAATTAATACTTACTGTTGAATATCTTATTGATATAAATCTAAATAAAGAAATATAGTTTAGTTTTTGTTTTTTTCTTCAATGAATACTTTTATTATAGAAGCTGATATTGAAGGAAATCTGAATAAAAAATTCGACCTATTGATAGTAACTATTGATTTAATGCACAATTCAAAAATAAGTCTTGATCGAAATGAACATGTCTAATTACGATCATATTCGTCCGCCATATTTTATCGTATACGACCGTTTATTATCGTGCCTTTTCGACCTGGAAATATACATTATATTATCTAACTGATAATAAAGGATACAATATGTAAATGATTATCTTCATTCATTGAGGATGTGGATGAGGATTTTGTATCTTCATCCAAATCATATTCAGATCTATCTTTAATCGATGCGAATTTTTCAGTTCTCTTTCGATAAGTCAAATTTTTAAAATAAGTCGCCATGATTTAGTTCAACTCAATTTTCGAATGTTCAATATTAAAACTTCATGAAAAGATATTTTTCGAGTACTATGTTTATTGAATATATATGTCAAATGTTCCTGATGTTATAGTATCAATATATTAATATTAAAAGCTTGGTCTTCGTTAAATGTTAATCCTTCATCCTTTTATTAATTGAATTTAGAATAGTATTTCAGCAAAAACTTATTTGAAAACACCTTGACTATTCGAAAGAAAATTGATATTTTGAAAATTTTTTTGGTCAGCATTTGAAATGAACTTCATAAATGTTAATAGAGTTTGCAGTTTATTCTTCACCATTTTTTTTTGTTGGAAAAATGAAAAACAACACATTTTTATAATGATATTAAAAACCTAAATAAAGTAAACTGTAACTTGGTAAAACAGTATTAATCTATTTTTCTTTTGAAATTTTCAAAGTGGAGAGCAATCATTAAGCAGAGCCTATTAGTCGTTGTGAGAAAAGGACGCGAACAGAAATAGTTTTAAATTCGATACGTATGCCGAATAAGAATTTCACAATTGTGAAGCTTTACATCGTCCCAATTATTCTATCGAAAAGACAAGATGACTGGTGTCCAATGCTCTATAATCAGTGCATATCTTATGTAATACAAAATTGGTACTGTATACGTACTATTCGAAGTTTCGAAATTGTCGGTATTGAAGTCAATTCTAGCGATCAGAAGGAGATATGAAAGAAAAACGTGGCTTGAATTCGTTCATCAATAGGAAACAAAGAATAAGAGGAATATTATTGCAGTAACGAATAGGATGTGGATGTGTGTTTGATTCTAGATAAGTGTCAGTGTCTACTGACACTAACACTCATACCCGCTTTATAATATTACTGAACAGAGTTACATCCAAAACCAAAAATGTTGCAAAACTTTTCCTATATCCAGTACATGTCTACCATCAACGAAATTTTTTCAAATAAACTTCATCACCAATACAAGTCAAACTATCATTTAATGAACTAATAATGACTTTTTTAATTGTAATACAGATTTCTTTATATTTACTTTAAACAATAAATTTTATTTTGAAAAAAATAAAACATTATTACCGCGTTCCTTTACTCGTACAGTAATATCAATAACTAAAACAATTGATGTTCAGACATGAAAGTCTACGCTAGTTTTATTCTAAGTGACTAAATTACGTTTTTTATGTAAGTCGACAATGATATTCATCTCTATCAAGAATAAAAAATAAATCCATAGCTTCAGCAATATCATGAAATGTTTACATAATATATTGTACAATTTCGTGTTCATCTCATCAATGGAATGAAAATAAAATAGAATAATCAGTTTTTCTTCTGGTTTATTCCGAGACGTTATACGATCATTCATCTAAAGTCTCTGTATAGGAGTGTATACATTTGCAATTGTTATCAAAGTTTCTTCAAAATCATTTTTTTCATAAAAAACTTTTACTTTTATAATGAATCGATTACTGATAAATCAATCGCAAGAAATTTTTGTTTCCTTTTTTTTTGTTCTAAAAACTAAATTGAACTAAACATGAAGATTCACTGATTTCCGCTTTTTCAATGTCATCTACTCCAAAACTCATTTGGACTAGAATGTCAATGAGCAGAAGACTAACATCTTTATATGGTTCTCACTCACTGTAAATGGAATTTCACATGAACTGTCTCTCATAGTGATAACGAGCACACACATAGAAAGAAAGAGAGAAAGACAACAGCTGTCAAACACTCACTCATTTTCGTATTACCATCATGATAGGTGATAAGCACATCATTCGTTTTCATCGATGCTTTAACAACATCATTAGTAATCAGTGTTATAAATTTAGTAAATAAATAAATGTGAATGATTTTTTTAGTTGTAATACTTTCTTTCATTTGCTTAACATAGTCAATAAGATGAGAATATGGATATGAGTAGCTAGCCTTGCCAAAGATGCTTTTTTCATCGAGACTTACAAAGTCACATCCAACAATATCCACACTTTCCTAAACGTGTCAAATTTTAATTCAGATGACGAAATGTGTCGATGAGTAAAATTCTCCATTGAAACGTTTAAACAAAGACGTCTATAATTTTTGTTACTTGACCTCCCTCAACTCTTGATAAGCAAGAGCTAGTGTTGATCGATTGAGTTTGTGACTGGGTTTGCACGAAAGACTGTTGATTGTGTGCATATATTTAGACATCATCATTATTGATCAAAAAAAAATAAAAGAGTAGATATTAAGAGTAATTATATTTATTTCGAACTAGATGCAAACTATAGAAAAAAATAAGAACAATTGAGATCGAATATTATTGTTCCCTTGTAAATAATTATTGGAATGAATAATAAAAATTCAAAGATATAAGATGGATTACCAAAAATGACAAATATATATTGTATGAAAAAACTGTAACATATATCCCAAATATAAATTAAGTAATTTTAAAGTATGACTTGTTTGCAAGTTGATCTGACAGAAAATATATTATCTCATTGATTCAGCACTATGATACCTTATAATAATGGTTAACAATAATTATTAAATTCAGATTAGGTCAATTGATAATCTAACTGAATATGATTTGAATTATTTTAGATTATATACATCATATTAGTCGTACAGTTTGTGTAGGCAAAGCGATCAGATTTTTAACAAAAGAAGACTCAGCTGTATTTCATGAAAACGAAAAAAAAGATTTTTTTTTCTTTCTATTATGTGACATTTGTTACTACGACAGACATGTTCTAGTTGCACAGTCACATGTTAAAACAAGTCTCGTATGGATTTCTTTTGTTTTGTTCTGAAAGCTCTACTCAGATTGACGTACTTGTTCAGAAGTAAATAATAATGAACAATTTTGTATATATTTGACCAAAATTTGTAATGATTCTAATAGTTAACATATTATTTATTTTCTATTTGATGTCATTGAAGATGACTGACGACCAAATAAATAAAGAAATTTACAATAATAATGACAATACTACAAGTAAAAAACCAAAAATATTTTTTCTTTACTTATTCTATTTTTTTAATTAATCGTAGTTCATCATATTATTCTAAATGATATTTAATGATTTCTGCTATTCAATCCATATCTTAATTGGAAACAAAAACAAGAACGAACGGTCTAATTAAGTATAAACTTTTATTATTTATTTTCATATTTGAAATTTACAACAAGTTAACTTGCGTTTTTTTTAACTACATCGTCAGTGTAAATTTTCTTTAAATCTACCACACTCACACTGGCTGATTAAAATAGATCGTCTAATGGATCAAGAAGCAATGAACTTAGTTGTGTGCATGCAGCTTTCTATTTCTTGTTTCTTTCGATACGACGATACTTATTCATTCAATGAAATAATGAAGATGGAGACATACATCAACAAGAGCATGTTAGCAACAGTAGAAGCCATCATTAACTAATAATACGTTGTCATCCATCAACCGTTTCTAATAAAGCTCAAGGCCACTACAAAGAAAAGCAATAGGAACTAATAACAACATTTTAAAAGTCTATTTATAAGTTTTTCGTTTTTTTTCTCTTTTCTATTATGAATGACTATAATGCAATTCTTTTTTCTTCATATGTTTCGTCCTTGTTCTTTCTTGCCTCATATTTGATATATTTGCACAGATTTTGCCTGTTACGTTTCGTTAGCAACACTGTTGAAATAAAAGGACGAACGATCAAGATAAGAAGCCCTTGAAGTCGATAGCAACCAGCCAAACAAAAACGAAAGTGTCAATATAAAAAGAAAAAAAAACGAAATATATGTAGAGACAGAGACGAAGTGTCTTTTTTTGTTGATTCCTACCGTGTGCAACGAATATCTACATTTTCATTTATTTATGTAAATTGAATAGAAAAAACCAAATAGTTACCACTATCATCATCATTACTATAATAATGGACAAAAAAAGTCTAAAATCAATCGCTAGTGGCTCATCATCATCTACAACAACTAAGCCAAATAAATCATCCTCAGCAGCAGCAGAACCAACAACAGTAGTGAGCAGAAGTGGCACGATTCCACGACCCGTTCATCGCGTTATAGAAAATTTTCTTTTCGTCTGGTTAGATGCAAATATTAATGAGACAAAAGAAGATTTCAAAAACTCATTAAAACAACTGCGACATCTTGGAGCATCCATTACTACATTTACGGATGCTGAAGAATGTTTCAAATTTCTCAGTAAAATTAAAAAAGAAAAAATCTTTATAATTGTGTCCGGTGCATTAGGACGGCAAGTAGCACCAGAAATGCAAGCAATGCCACAGTTGGAATCAATATATGTATTCTGTGGCAATAAATCATATCATGAAGAATGGGCCAAAACTATACCGAAGGTCAAAGGGGTTTACACTGATATTAAACCAATTTGTCAAGCACTGGAAATCGATCGAGCTATGATCTCGATTAGTTTTAATGGACTGAATCCCCTGTTCATGTATACACAATTATTAAAAGAAGCACTTTTTGAAATCGAAGATGATGATAAGAAATCTATCAAAGCCTTCGTTGATTATTATCGTGAACAGAATGATATTCCTAAAGGTCAACTTAAACAAGTTGAACGCGAATATCGTAATCATGCAGCAATATGGTGGTACACAGTCGAAACATTTATTTATTCGATGGTTAATCGTGGACTTCGACAAATGGATGTTAATATAATATTTAATATGGGTTTTTTCGTTTGTCATCTACATAATCATATTGCAAAATTACATCGTGAACAAAAAGGCCACAACATGCCAACAAAATTTCAAATCTTTCGTGGACAAGGTTTGTCCATGGAAGACTTTGAAAAAATGAAAACAACCAAAGGAGGACTTAGGTCCTTCAATAATTTCCTATCAACAAGTCGTGATCGTAAGATTTCACCAGAAAACTTTGCACGACCAGCTACACAGAATCTCACCTTGGTTAGCATTCTCTTTGTCATGGCAAATGATACAGCTATTTGCTCAAACTCATCAACACCATTTGCCGAAGTAAGCAAAGTTGGCTACTACAAAGATCAAGAGGAAGAAATACTTTTCACAACGCGTAAAATTTTTCGCATCGATCGTACTGAACGTGTCGAAGACAAGCATACTGATCGCTTATGGCAAGTTAATCTCAACATGATAGGAAACCTAGGTAATAGTTTTAACAAGCTAACGGCACGACTGCGAGAAGAGGTCACTTGGGTTACAGGATGGACTTGGCCCAGTTACATATTCATTAGACTACGAAAGTGTAGAAAAGCAGAGCATCTTTATAAGACACTCCTCGAAAAAGCATCCACTGATAAAGAGCGATTGGATAATAATCTTCAGCTTGATAATGTGTATCATAACATGGACGAGTACTCGAAAGAACTTTCATCGTACGAACGATCACTTGAAATCCGGAAAATAGCTCTTCTTCCAAATCATCCAGACTTGGCTGCTGTTACAGACTCCGCCTTCACATTGTGTGTTTCGTCTTTATTCTTCTTGTTTGTGTTCTTTTACCTAGATATAATATCATTCGATCGTATATCATCCTCTCTTTGTTGTGTTCGTTTCTCTTTCGTTAGCCCTGGATATATGTGGGTTTGGTTGTCGGTGAAAATAGAGCCGCATCCAGACTCACAAACGTCCTCTATTATTTCAATTTTTGATTCATTTATATTTACAGACTTATTTTAAGCATTTCATTGATGATTACGAAAAGGTAAATTTTGCTTTTTCATCCTTTTGAAAACAGCTGTAAGATTGTTAAGTTGTTTATTGTTTTCTTACAAATACGACATGTCGATCTAAAAATAAAATGTTCTATTTTTTAGTTGTTGAAGCATACCATAGAAAGCAATCCTTGATTGTATATCTGTCAATATTTATCACGACTGTACGGGTGTTGCATATGGTTAGTAGAAAAAAGTATTTGCATTGAGTTTCTCTGTCATAGAAAATGTAAAACCATAGCTAATATGTAGAATCTCTAAAACTAATCTCAGGACCAACATGAGTCATTAAAACTTTTCGATGCAACAGGTATGTCAGTTGCTCTCTCATTACTCTTTGCTTTGACATAAGCACCTCTTTTATTTCAAATTCAAACATAATAAAACAAAAGCAAAAAACAAGAATACACTAAGATTCCATCCCTCTCACATACAGTAACATTCCGATGATGCTTTCTTCTTTGAAAATGATGTATAGAAAGAGAAGTAAGGCGAAAAGGGAAAAAAAGAAGCAAAGAATGCAATACATGTCGTAAGAATAGACAAAACAGAGCAAAACATGCGAATACATAAGAAAGAGTTACTAGTCAAATAATGCGTATCACGATCGTTGACCATGATAATGTTCTAGTCATCTAAGAAATATGTAGGATGTGTTGGATATCGGATAGAAAAAAAAAACCAGAAAAATGTATCTCGTATACTGATGGTAAGTATCCTATTTCAATTATACCATTTCATTAAGAGTATTTAAGTACGATTCTATTTAATCCACGTCTAACCATTTTGTATATTTCAAAAATTGCCGATATCCAATAACAATGATAAAATATGCAGCACCTTATTTCATTTAACAATATTGAGTAAAATGTTGAATAAGTTTAACAAGTTGAAAGAACGAATATTGATGAGTTCATAAATAGTTTAAACAAAAAGCATTTTATGAGTTTTATATAAAATATTATAAATATCGTTGTATTATAGTTCGAAAACTGATGAGAGACTTATGAAGCTCTTGTTTGTAAAATTTCGATGGTAATATAAATAAAACAAATGTAAGCAGAGGTGGAATAAATGACATAAAATATCCAATAAGAAATAACCATGCATCATTTGTTGATTTCATACATTTTGATACAAATGAAATGATTAAACGTGGTATTCCAAGAATCACTAATATAACAGGAGCAATAAATAAATGTGTATGTTCTCGCATATTTTTTTTTAAATATTCTATATAAGTTCGATTAGTATGAATATTTGATTGTTGACGAGATATTTTTGTTATAAGAATAAAAACTGATACAAGATTTATGACAAATGGAACCAAAAAATGAAATGTATGAATAATAGAATTGAATACTTGTAAATTCGATGGATACAATGCAATACACCATAATCGTTTATCATCTTCATTTTCTTCATCAATTAAACGTCGATAAATAGGATCATAAATATTAGTACTAATAATAAAAATCAAAAGAAAAACAATAACTATTTTAGCTATTTGTATACTGTTTTTCTTATTATAATTAGTCGCTTTTATTATTGTAACTGTTCGTTCAATCGCAACAAAAGCATTTAACCATTGATCCATATTAAGACAAACTCGTAAAAGAAAATCAAGAGATAAACATTGAATTTGTAGAAATAATCGATTTGAAATAATTGTCATTTGTGCAAGAAGAAGTATACAAAATTTTAATCCAAATATAAATGTTGTCAATAAAGTAGTAATTGATGAACTTAATAAATAAAAACCACAACCAATTTTGCATATAGATCTACTCTTGAATGTAATCAAAGATAAAATTCCATTAATTAATCCTACTACTATAAAGATTATCGATAATACAAAACTAATTTTTACAAGATTGGGTTGATTTACAAGATTAATATGTGGTTGAATATGATAACCTATAATAGCATCAAGTGATAAACCAAATCCAGTTGAACTAAATTGACATTGTGCTCCATAAAAACATGGTCGACAAATACACATTGATCTTTCTGGACAATCTGGACTGTCTTGAAAACATTGACCTTGATTCTCACAAACACTTTGACCAAAACAATCAAATTTCATATTATGATCAAATTCAAAACAGTTTGCTAAACGTTGTTGTCTATAATCATAACATAAACAAATATAAACATCATCATAAAAACAAGAAAAATTTGATGAATATCTTTGACATGGTAAATGATAATATTTAATACGACGAAGAGCATGCATTTTAACAATAGTTTCATTAAATAATTCATTTATATGTAGACAACGATCTGATGGATTTATCATTGTATTAGTTGTTGTTGATTGTTTAGAAGTTTTTTGAATGATAGCTAAATAATAAATTTTATTGTAAAGTTCAATAAAAACAAGATGAAATGGTCGTGACCAATAAATAATAAGTGAATTTTGTATAAAAAGAATTGTACGAAACGTAGTCGTACGCTTTGGTTTATCATTATTAATAATTTCTATGAAATGAATAAATATCGATTGAGATAAAACAATATTATTATCAAATGATAAAATTATTTTATTATCAACTATTTCACATCGATCTCCCATATAACCTTTTGGACAAATACATTGAAATTTTTTATTTAATATCGTATAATCATCAGCAGGAATACATTTGCCATCATGTTGACATGTTGAATTATTGTTCATTTGACAAATTGTATCAACTAGAAGACATTGATAACCAAATTTATTAATTGGACAAACACATACAGATCGATTGTATGTAGATACACCAACATATATTGAATCAGATGAACAAGTACAAGTGTGTGGAATAGTACAATATCGTCCAGACCATCCTTGATTACATTGACAAAAACTAGCATTTTGTACATTATTTGAATATATAATACATTTACCATTAACACATGGAGAATTTGAACAACTTTGAATTTTTTCATTCTTTTGTGGAATACTAACTATAAATGCTAGACGATGGACAGGTAAAAATGGAAATGTTAGTTGAAATAATAAACTTCCTCGATAATTTAATGAAATTTTTTCATAGATATCAATATGTATTGCATAATTTTTTGTTGGATCTTTTGGTTGAGTTGCATAGAGTAGATAAATATTGAATTTAACTTTACAATCTCTGATCGATAAATAAGTAATTTGTTCATATGAATGAATTATTCTTTCATCACTATCATCGATAAGTGAAATAATTATTGCAAATATAGTTGACCAAGAATCTGAAAATGCTTGAAATCTAACAGTTAAACTTACTCGTTGATTTTGATATTGACATTGATCACCATAAAAGCTAGGTGGACAAAGACATGTATTTGTTGTTAAATTCTTTGCATCGTTTAACCAAACACGTAAATCAAAACCGCGATGACATCTAGGTTTATGTTGATGAGATATTTGCATCATAGATGAACTTGAAAAGATTGAGTTTGTCACAATTTTAGTTTGATCTTTGAGAGTTTTGCTCATTTCATTCAATAAGAAATATTTATTTAGTTGTATACGCTTGTATTTTGTTGCTTGGCATAGAAACTGCTCGGCAGCAGAACGAACTGATGAATAAGGTGAAGCACAAATGCTCTCATATAAAGGAGTATTTGTTCGATTTTTTACACAAAATTGTTCATCTTCTCCATGGTCACAGTCTCGAATACCGTCGCATAGCGTCAACCAATCATTACATTGGTTAAATATTTTATTATCACAATAAAATTTGTATATAATATTTAGTCGATCAATTGTTTTACATACTATTGGCTCGTCAGTAGCACCAAGACAATCGATCTTGCCATCATTTGCTTTTTCAACAGGCAGACAGATAAGTTGACTTGTGTCAGGTGAAACGCATTTATGATGATCTTTAAAACAATTTAATGTTGAAGATAAATCACAACCAATTTCATCTTCACCATTCGGACAATGCCATATATCATCACAATGAGTATAAATATTATTACATGGCCATTGTTGACATTCTGTTTCATCTGTTTCATTTGTTCCTTCGATATTTATTGGAATCAGTTGTGTAAATCCATTACAAATACTTTGAAATGATATATTCTGTACAGCATAATTAATATCGAAATGTTCATCTTCACACCAATCAGAGTAATAAACAGGACAGTGACAATATCCATCTTGAACATACCAATGATGAAGATACTTGTTGGATATGTTGCATTTGAAATGATTTTTTAAAAATTTTGCCATATTAATACTATTGATTTGCATAATATCTTCATCATCTTTTTGAGGACAATCTAAATTGCCGTCCATAAAATGATTTACTGAGATACACTTCGACGAATTGACACACTGATACATATTTGTTCTATTACAAATTTCAGAAGTATAGTTAATAAATGTATTGTATTTCTTCAATTGATCGAATAATTGGTATAAAGATGGAAAATATTGCAGTGTCCATGAATAGAACGGGAAAAGAGACTGTCGTGACAAACTAGGACGGAAACACGTTCTATTCTTAAATAAAATCTTTGTCTGATCACTAAAATATTCATCATAACGAGAATTATTATAGCATACATAAGGAAATGTAAAATTTCCAGTTGCAAAAATCAATGAGTCATTTTTTGTATGTGCCATATAAATGTTACGAAAAAAAATTGGAAAATTGGGAATATAAAACATATCAGGACATGTGTTCTGAATAATCTTTAGACATGTTGACTTTTGACAAATCGTACTACAATATTTCTCATCTGAACTTGGTACCTTCAAGATGCATTTAAAAGCTGACCAACATTGTTCAGATGTTGAATTATCTTTGGTTGAATAGATTGCTTGCAATAGTAGATCTCCGCGTTGTCGCCAACAAGAAGTTGTCAAGAAAGTTGCTTGACATGTTCTTTCTTCACACTCAAATGACGGTTCATCTGTACTACACTTGCTAAGTTGGGAAGTAAGTACGAAAGGTTCGTCAGATCCGTCAACACAATCAGGAGTGTTAGAATCATCTCGAAAAAATGATTGTGGTATACATTGTCCATTAGTACATTGATATTCATTATCATTACATTGATTGATTTCAAGTTGCCAACAATGTTCTTCATCAAATTCACTATCAAGACAATCTAACTGTCCATTACAAATTTCACTCCAATCTAAACATGCAGGAAAAGGACCACGATTACATTGTAAATGAGAATAACAAGTAAAATTAGTTGGATTATATTTATATGTATGATAATAATCATGAATAATTTCATATAAAGATAAATGATTTTGATTATAATAAATAATTTCATATTGACACGTAGAACCAAATCTTGGTAATGTACAATTATAGAAAATTTGTGTTTCCAAAGATTTATCATTGTATGTTGATAATTGATTTAAATAAAACTGATAACGTTCAACAATATTTATTGGTGCTAACCAAATGTATAATTGTTGACTTGTAATATTATGTTTCAAAAGTTCAACAAAAGTAAACTTTGGAAAGATATTATTATTTTCGATATGGAATTTCGATGATAAATCATTCATACAATAAGATATAATTTCACGACTAACATTTGCTTTATCAATAGAAGCAGGAACACGTAAACAATTAAGTTGGAATACAGTATTATTTTCACTCTCACTTATCCATTCTGTATAATGCAGATTGATTTGAGGTGTAGCAAAAATAAAATGTAACACAATAAAATTCAATAGTAATCTCATACAAAACATTATCTCATAATGAATATAGTAATAACTATTTACAGTATTTATATGTATGTATACGTTATCGATCATTTTCTATTTTTCATTTATAAATGTCATGAAGATAAATGAACAAATTTGTGCGTGACTGCCTCTACGTATATAATTTTTAATAAAAATTTAAATAGTTATAATAGCTGATGGTTCTTCTTTATCATTAGTTATAAAAGTTTTATCTACGATAGATTTGACAAATTGAAAAAAAAAATGTTCATGCAAACAAGCATTATTGATATAGATTTCTTACTATGATGATAGACGGATAGGAATTCAAAATGAATTCAAAAACAATGGTAATACAAGGAACTTGCCAGAAGTTCATAATCATTAGTATAAAAAAAAGTATTTGCTTGGTAGTAAATTTAGAACTAAGGAAACAAAATAATCTTCGTTTCTCAACAACAGTTTTCTAATCTATTAAATGATGAATAGATGTGTGAGGCGTTTTTTTAAAATTTTCTTCGTTTTGAGAAATTTGAACATGATATCAATATGATTAAAAGACATTTGAAGTCGCTTCAACGACTGTTCAACTTGAAGCCATTATTAATTGAGAAAAATTTTAATTCTCCATTCATGAGGTTCAATAATAAATGTTTTTATTTAAATAGTCTTTGATAGATCCATCAAATATGCAGTACGCTTTGAATTATTCATCTATGTTTCTGTAACAAATCAGAGTACAATTCAGAAATATAATGAATAGTTTGTTTGGTAGAAATAGAATTTTCATTCAGAACCATCGTCTGCTCAACAGCATTCGTGCTCAATATTGTTTTTTAAAGTTGTCAAACTGTGCGTGATTTTCTTAACAAATAAAGATAAATGTAAAAGTCAGTAATAATGATTCGATTATGATTAATTACAAAACGAATGATTGTCTCGCTTATTATCTGTAATTCTATTTTCACGAAACGTACTAATTAATTAGTTCAATTTCTTTCGCTAGTTAGCTATTAGAAATAAAATTATAACCATTACTCTTCTGATAACTTAATATTTATATAAATAACCTATCCAAAATTATTCTCATAAATATATTTACATTTCAACGTACAGAAAAAGTATTAACTCATGGTTGTCCTGTGGTCTCTATAGGAACCATTTTATGAAAACTTGCTCCTCTTTAACGATGAGACTATTAGAAATAGATTTTATATTAACTTAAAGCCTATCAATTGTACACTTTCAATGAACAATCGTGATCTAGTCTTTATCATAAAAATATGTTTTTTTTAATATTGCTCAATACATCATGTTATGACGAGCATTATAATCGTGTCATAAGAGAAAGACTTGTTGATTATAGTTTATGAATGTTCTTTGGACTGTAATTTCTGATGTTTTTTTGTTCTACCGTCATGCATTGATCATGGCGTATGTCCTATTTTTCTTCTGTACATTTCAGTATATTTAAATCCATTGACTTTTCTCTTGATTTGACTCAAGAAATGCAAAGTGTGGCTTTGTTATGCTGAATCTATTCATTTCGACGAGATGGTCGTGCATTTACATGAATCATATTATCGTTTCTTCAAATAAAAAAGAATAATATATGCGCATTAGATATTTAATATGTTGATATTTGACGAATTTGATTCAAAATTCTCATGTGTATATTTGAAGGGATAGAATTGATTTTATTGAGAGTATTGTTCTTCCTACTCATCACATTTAACTACAGGCAAGCAAGGGTATGGATATGAATTTAGATAAAGAAAAGACCCATACACACACCCACACATACCCTATGTTGACCTTATGACATACGTCAACAATCTAATTCGTTAAGATTTACATTATTGACATCGATTTCAAAAAAATTTAGAAGACGTTGAAAAGCATTGAAGGCATGATCACCATATTTGATGCGTAATTTAGCTGAAGGAAGAGTAAAACTATATATGGTATGGATTGACGAACATATGGTAAGGATAAAAACGATTACAACTGACATCTAAAAACCGAAATAGCTTTACATATTTCTACTAGTGCACAAATACATCACTAGATGGAGCGACTGTACTCATTTATGCAGAAATGATATATAGAGGAAAAAGAATAACTTAATCTTACACACTTGAAGGAACTTGTCCTAACTAATATTGCTGGTGAGAAAGTACCAAGTACAATGGGAAAGTTGAAGATGATACGAAAACTACATCTCGCAGAAGATGATCTGCAAGAATTATCGAAGGAACTAGCAGCGCTCACTAAACTCACACTACTGGAAGTGGATGCAAACCTGAAGACGATGCCGCTATTCATTAGCATGCTACCCATCCAGCGACTCCTTTTTTCACAATATTCAAGATTTTCAGTAATTCCGTCTGATTTCTTTAAAAATCTCTACTCTCACCTAAGGGCTCTTTCGATCGATGTTTCTCATCCAAGTATCTTGGAACGACTCTCTGAATCAACGAATTGAAAAAGTTTAACACTCTACACTGACGCATCATTGGAATTTTCAATGTCGCTGACTCACGTTTCTTCGCTACATGTCTTATTTTTACGAGGAATTTCGAATCAAATAGCGGACCTTCCGCAGAATTTTTCATCATTTTCCATCTGGAACTTAGAACTTGGAGGCAATGCCTTCAACGAGATTCCATCGGTGCTATCAAATTGTTCGAAATTATCTGCGCTGAACTTGACAGACAATAAAATTACAAATGTATCTGCGATTCTCAGAAATATTTCGAATTTGACGTTTTTGAGTTTGTCAAGGAACTATATCGAGAGAATACCGTCGGAGATAATTTTCTTATCGAAAACATTAAATTATCTAAAACTTGCTCATAATAAGCTTACAAGTGTGCCAGCTGAAGAGTTAGTGAATATGGAAAAATTGACATTCTTATGTACTAGAAAGAATCCGATATCGTCGGACGAGTTGGTGCGTCTTAACCATATTTTTTCGACTAAGCCGAGTCTCAAAGTTTATTACTAGATAACGTTTTTCTTTCACTTTGAACATAACCGAGTTGTTTTAGAGATATTTTTGAAAGAAAACTTTGTGAGACAAAAGTCTTCATCTGATTTCTGAAGTTTCACAAACCGATTTATTATTTGTTTTGACCGAGTTAATCATACAATTCGATTTGATCGTTCAATGAATAAATGATTTTAGTTAAAAATGTTCATGTTCGAATATCTTTGATTGAATCGAATCAACTTGAAGCTGTTCCATTTGAGAACTCATTGTGGTTCAAAAAGTTTCGTCAATCAGTTTGAAGAGATTCACCTGAAAAGAAACAAGTTCCATAAATGATCGAATCTATTGGACGTATATACACAATTGTTCCTTCATTCGAATAAAAAACAAATCTGAAATTAATGTGAGGATGGGATGTGG